TACCTGTCTAGAATCACAAGTCATATGTTCAGTAGCACCAGAATCAATTATCCACCACGAATTATTCGTAACATGTAGAAACCTTTAAAGCCTTACCATTGTTACTTGTATTAGTAGAGGCAGACACTTTCGCAGCTATATTTTCAGAATCTACCTTCGCATCGGCAAACGAGGTACGCGTGGTCGTATTCTCATGTCTGAGTTGGTTGGTTCAATTTGGAGACGTACAAGTCCAGACTACCATTCCCAAGCAACTTTAATCAATATGTCACTCAGTAATCGGTAAAGCCCAAATTTCCAAGCAAACCGAGCCCAAGAAGCTTCAATTTACACGGGCCAACAAGAAAGATAGCCCAACAACAATTAAAAATAATAATAATCTAAAAACCAAAAATTTTCCTTGCCGTGTGGGCATGAAGCAAAAAACCCAATTTTTTCTATGTTTGTATTTTGTCCCTTTGCCCTTTGTCCAACGTCGTCTTCGTGTAAACGATGATTTAGGAGAAAGAAAAAACTCACTGCAATCTGGAGCAGCAGCAGGTCTGTGTGGGTGGAGATGAAGACAGTTGGGGTTTTAAATAGAGGTGGTGACACGGCTGGTAGTGTATGATGCGGGTTGTAGAGATTTGGTAACTCCTCAGACAGTAGGACGGTGTAGACAGTGTGGTGGTTTTAGATAAGAGAATAGTTGCAGTGGTAACGTATAGGTTTGTGGGTTGTGGGTCAAGCTAATTTCAATCTAGGGCAGTCGAATATAACCCCGTGATGCAGCAGCGAGGTGGATGCACTGGTCGATGTAGTGGACTCAGGGTCAGCAACGACGAAGTCGCTTGTTGGTCGGACGACGCTGCACAACTGGCTGCGCAGCTGATGGTTGTGGTTCTGTGCACAACGCATATTTTTTTCTTTTCTCTAACCTAGGTGTTGTGTTTGGCTCATACATTTGTGAGTAATTATGAGTCATGTGTTGACAACAATTGAAGACATGGTGACTGCCACAAGCAAAGTTGGAAGCAAGCAAGACTTGACCTTGTGTTTGCTTGCACACAATTGTGCATGTTTTATTGTGCATGTTTTCTCTTCTATGCATTAAATGACTAATGGAGAAAAGTTGTACTTTATAGACTAGGTATAGACTTTGGTGCATGCTAGGTAGACTAGGTAATAATTATGTCATATGAACTTAAGACTTTTTGGTCTTAGTTGTTGGCATAGTTGCTAGTGTATGCCTATAACTAGATGTAATATTTGTGCATTTAGTAATGCTTAGAAAGTGGGAATGTAAGCATCGTATAAGCATCCAAGGGGAGAGCATCCGGCTCTTCCATGGGAAAGGTTGAACATGGGTTGAGAGAAAATCAAGAGAGCTAGAGTGAAAAGTCTCTAGTGAAAGAACTCTTGGGGTAGAGTGAGGCTCTTGGAAAATTTTATGAGTGGGTGTACAAGGGATTTGGGATTGGGTTATGTCGATTTAACTCATGTGTACTTGTACTGTTATTCTCATAGTGAAGAGTAATATCTCTCCGGGGACGTAGGCGGATTTTTGCTGAAACTCGTAAATTTCTTGGTGTTTTTATTTCTTGTATTTTATTCTGTTTAATTGAGTGTAATTTGATGAGGTTGTAATCTGAATCTTGTTTCCGCATTGAATAACGGGCCAAGGCACAACAATTGGTATCAGAGCATCGTTGGAGGTCCAGATTTGTTGTTCACCATGGAATTTTCAGTTGAGAAGTTTAATGGGAGAGGCGGTTTTACTTTTGGTAAAGGAGAGTAATGGAAGCCTGAAGAAATGGAAGTCGTGTTCAGGGATGCTTAGATCAACTGCGAAAGTTGATGTTGAGGAAAAAGACAAAGGCCTCTTTTTTCTTACCTCACTTTTAGATTCGTACGAGAACCTTGTGAAAATTTACTGCATGGAAAGATACAGTAAGTTTGGAGCAGGTGCAAGCTTCTTTGGTGTGGAATGATACACAAAGGAGACCATGGATGATGGTGGGCATGAGACTGCTTAAGCTATTCAAGGTTGGAATCGTGGAAGAAAATTGGAAGAGGATCTGAGAGAGACAACAGGTTCAGATCCAGTTCCGGAGGCAAGGGTCCACAGTGCTACAGTGCAAGGCTGGGTGGTAGCAAGTTTGTGGCATAAGGCTTCGAGTATGCCCTTTAGGTACTCGAAGCAACACTTCTCCTGGTGATGTTTAGTCTCAAGTGTTGTAAGGGTTTTGTAGCAGGTAGAGCTATGAGATTCACAGGTGATGAGATGGTTCTGAGGTAGGAGGAAGTGTGAGAATTTTGTCTGGCTCGATGAGTTGTTGCTGGAAACGAGCACGCTGACGAGTTTCCAGGTTGCAGACAATGAAGAGGAGGAAAACCTGTTGGAGGAGACGAGGGGTGTGTCGAGATCCTGTCTGAAGCTAAATGGTGAATTTTAGCTTCCAGCAGCTGCACATGCATTGGCAGTGACTGAATCGGAACAAGACCAACGAGGTGGATTCAGGGTGTGTATGCTGGTACGTAAGGCCAATGGGCTTTGGTGATGGGTGCAAGGATTTTTGCATGGTGTATTCGCCAAGGTGGAGAGTGTTGTTTTTGGCTCATACATTTGTGAGTAATTATGAGTCATGTGTTGACAACAATTGAAGACATGGTGATTGCCACAAGCAAAGTTGGAAGCAAACAAGACTTGACCTTATGTTTGTTTGCACACAATTGTGCATGTTTTATTGTGCATGTTTTCTCTTATATGCATTAAATGATAAATGGAGAAAAGTTGTACTTTATAGACTAGGTATAGACTTTGGTGCATGCTAGGTAGGCTAGGTAATAATTATGTCATGTGAACTTAAGACTTTTTGGTCTTGGTTGTTGGCATAGTTGCTAGTGTATGCCTATAACTAGATGCAATATTTGTGCATTTAGTAATGCTTAGAAAGTGGGAATGTAAGCATCATAGAAGCATCCAAGGGGAGAGCATCCGGCTCTTCCATGGGAAAGGTTGAACATGGGTTGAGAGAAATTCAAGAGAGCTAGAGTGAAAAGTCTTTAGTGAAAGAACTCTTGGGGTAGAGTGAGGCTCTTGGAAAATTCTATGAGTGGGTGTACAAGGGATTTGGGATTGGGTTATGTCAATATAACTCATGTGTACTTGTACTTTTATTCTCATAGTGAAGAGCAATATCTCTCCAGGGACGTAGGCGGATGTTTGCTGAACCTCGTAAATTTCTCGGTGTCTTTATTTCTTGTATTTTATTCTGTTCAACTGAGTGTGATTTGGTGAGGTTGTAATCTGAATCTCGTTTCCGCACTGACGAACGGGCCAAGGCACAACACTAGGCTCTGGTGTCAAGAAGAGAATACGTTGAATGATATGTTTATTCTTCTCAGGAAGAGGTATAATATACAATCCTAAGCCTAACTAAATAGGGATGAATAATTACAGGAGATTATAAAGAAATTTCTCCCATATTATACGGGATCCATCATAAAATAGGAAATCCTAAATTATAGGAAACTATACAAGTCAAATCAATTAAAAATCGTTAACCATAACTGAAAAATAAGTCCCATTATAAGGACATGCTTTATCCAACGCAATATGGTCTAAATGACTACTAGCTAATAACGAAGACATAACTAATGGAGCTCTCGCAATCCTGAATTTTGGGTAGGCCTAATCAAAATATATAGTTATATGACTCGACTTACATCGCACCAGCTCAAGTACAAAATAAAACTAAGTTATCTGCACACTGCATTGTACTCAAATCTTTAATAACGTAGTAATTGACATCATGATTTAGTTGTTTTTGTTAAGAGATTTCAACTTTGACTCACACGAATAATGAATTCAATACTTCACTGTTATTGTTTGATCATTGTGTGGTTTAAGTCAGATTTCCCCCACTCAAATAGTAGTAGACCATTGTATAGAAAAGCACAAATAGCTTAGTGATTGTCTAACTAGGCTTATAAAAGGATCACCAGATCGGGGCTTTAGATTAATCATGCACGTACCAGATTGTCTGACAAGGAAGAGGTGCAGGTCCCTTTACATAAGCGCTATTTTTGTTATTAATTTTTTTTGCTAATCTATTAATCTTGGCTATGAATTATATTTGTTTTGTGCGACAACGATATTCGAAATTATTTTAATTTTCAAGAAAAGAATATCAAGCTTAGAATAAAGAGACAATAATACTAATTTGGCCAACAAATCTAATCCGCGTATGCGTGCGTAGATAAAATTTGTTTGTGATGGGTTTCATGCGCCCCATAATTTGTCTCCAGCCTATTTAAGTTGAGCACATATCTTACTATGAAGTATGAACCATGATATATTCAATCGATGATGCCAATTTGCCAAATCAATTTGCAAAATTATACGCATTGTAAGATATCATCCGTCTTAGAGCAGTAAATTAAAGATCATTTCGCTAATGTACTAAACAATACAATTACCGAACGTTAATGTTTGTGTTAGTTGGATTTTTTAAGAAGCATAAAGTTGCATATTTGGTGATAATTATCAATCTAAAGTTGAAGAGGGATAAGATGAACCCGTCACTGATGAACCCGTCACATCTAATGGTCAAGAGAGATGGTGTGAAGTAGTATTCTGTCATGATGTGATGCGGTTTGATGCTACTACGGATACTAGATATCAACATCTGTAATCGATGAATTCTTGATTGTTGGATTGTCAGAGTATGAGATATCAAGATCTTATGTGAAATGTTATTATGCATATTTGACATTAAATTTTTTTTTTATCAAATTGTTATTTACTGATTGAATTTAAAGATTTTGTAATTTGAAGCCAAATTTGACATCAATATTAAATTTATTTTTAATTTATTTTAATGATGGATCTCTTATTTCACCAATATTTCAACCAATAAATATTTTATTTCAATATTATTTTAATAATTACGATCATTTAAGATTCTATTTAAATAATAAAATAATATTTTGCAGAAGACTTTAGAATACCACAGTCATCACTTGTAATTTTATCTTTATAATTTGATATTTCTTTTGTAGAAGATTTTAGCCTTTCAAAACACATATTGTACACTAGAACATAATAGAATTTTCGTGATCGTAATTGTCCTAATTTGTAGACATTGTACAAATTCCAAAAAAAGTACACTCCCCCAAAAACTTAAATTTCCGCCCCTAAAATTACATCCTACACCATCAAAGCTCCTTGTCCTTCAGTCCAACAGACTTGGCCGCCGCATCGGCGCCGCCAGCTCCGCTGCTAGCACCCCTTGCCTTCCCCTTCTTATTAAAAAACCCCAAATGAATTCTGACGTAAAAATTCAAAAATGCCAACAGAATCACACCGTTGAGGACGGAATTGAAAACCCATGCACCAATCCCGTTGCACCCGCCTTTCATGAAATGCATCATTAGGACGCCGACGTGGCAGGCCACGTTGCAGACCAGCAGTGCAATCTGGCAGTTCACCACCACTGGAAAACACGCGCCCGGCAGCCCCACGGCGGTCCAGAACCGGTACCCGTAAACCACGGAGTAGACGAGCGTCGTGCAGAGGATCGCCATGACCTGAATCGACTGCGAAAACTCGAGCCAGAGGAACGAGATGACGGTGAGGATCGAGTGGTTGAAGAGCTGGAAGGGGACGAGCCTGCGGCGGCGGAGAATGGTGAAGAATGTGCGGAGCATGTGGGGAAATCTGGAGAGGTAGTACACGTAGGACCAGAAGAAGACCCGACCCGACGGCCGGGTCCCGAGCGGGAAGCAGAGGAGCCACTGGAATGGGGTTTTGGACCGTGGCCAGAACCACCGTGTCTCGCGGATTTCTGCGGCGGAGGAGAGGGTGACTCCGGCGAATATTGTGAACGATATTAGGGCCATCGCGAGGCTGTGGACGGCTGGAATAGGTCCGAGAGGTACGGGTCGACCCGACCGGTTTACAGCGAGGAGGAAGAGGTGGAGGAGGAGGGAGAGGGTTATGTAGACGGCGATGGCGGTGAAGAGGAAGGACCACGTGGAGCCCCAGGAGTGGGTGTGGGACCACCGGAACCCGACGATGGTGGGGTGCTCCGAGAGCCAGAACGTGAGGGCCTGGATACCCAACATTATTTTTTGCCGGGCTGGGGATGGATCAGACGGTAGAAGTGAAGTGTCTCGTCGTTTTAGGAGGCGGAGAAAACGACGGGAGACGGCCCTTCACGCGGTAGCGGGTGGGTCTGGTGGCTCTGGCTCACATCGAATCATTCATTCACAATTTTTGCTTCCAACTTTTATTTTTATGGTTTGGGAATTTGAGGGGTCTTTTAATTTGTCTTTTTGGGGGATGGATGGATAAGTGGATGGACAACTACAAGTTGGAAACTGAATCAAATGACCGGTCGCCATGAAGCCAATAAATAGTGTTGGAAAAAACACTGCAGTTTTGGCGGTACGTGTGAATTCTTCCTTCGGCACGTGTGGGATGACCAAAATAAAGGTTTGTTTTGGTAGCTTTAGGAGCAAGTAGGTTTGTTTGTGTGCATTTTATTATGAATAACTTTTTTTCCTCGTTAGAGATGATCATTTGCATAGTGATTTATAATATAAACATCTCCGATCATATACAATATTCTGTAAGTAGATCACAAAGTATTTTAAGGAGGAGTACCTCCTTAGTTCCTGAGGATCCAAATCTTTCGCTTATTATAGTTTGTGGATTTTAGGAGGAAGTAGTATTATTGAGATTGTAAGGATAATGGGGACCATTGTGGATTTCTTGTGTATTTATGAATGTAATTAGGAGGTGAATAATTTGATTCATGGTCACAAAGTCAGTATTTACTCTAAAGTAGGAGAAAAATATAGACGATGAAGGTGCATTGATACTTTGATGTGATCCTCACCCTAACTATTTAGGTTTTGGCCAAATCAGATAAATGGTTTATATGGTGATAATGTATTCAGAACATAACTCATATGGTAAAAAAAATTTGAATTTAAGCCTTTATGGTAAATTCTGTTATGATTTATGCCCAAAACTCAAACTTCCGTTTTTCCTCTGTTAATAGTCTACACGTGAGGGTCACTTGTGAGGCTAAAATGGTCATTTCATCCCTTCTATCTGCAGCTGGGTGATAAAATTGCAGTGTCCAACTTAGAGATCGAAATCGCAATCGCAATCATCATTAGAAATTAGTGTGAAACGGTGAAATCGTAATCGCAATCATGGTCAGAAATCAAAACAAATTTTGAAGATGTTAGTACTGGAAGATCCAAATTATTTTTCTATTTGTTATGGCTCTACCACTGTTTTCGATCCCATTCATCTCCCCCACGATCTTTCCATTCTCTATCTTTTAGAGATTTGCTGTTTTGACTAAGAACATACTCCCAATTTTCACAGGACCCGAATTATTTTTCTGATCAGCCCATCTACTACCTGTCATAGAGGCAACATCCTGATAGCCTCCTTCCCAAGAATTGACACCATTACCCCAACCCTTTGGTGGAGTGATACTGTCCCCTCATCTGGTTCCATCCCCGCAACTCATTCCTACTATCTTGCCATGCATTATTCTCCGTGTTTCAGAATTGGGAACGCCAGGAATGAGGGTTTTAGTTTTGGGCACACTACTAATGATGAAATAATCTTCTTTGCCTCACATGTGACCCTTATGTGCTGGCTACTAATGGGGAAGGATGGAAGTTTTGAGTTTTGGGCATAAATCCTAACAGATTTCACTATAGGGGTTTAAATCCAAATTTTTTTTACCACAAAGGTTATGTTCTAAATACCTTATTACCAGTGGACCATTTATCCAATTAGGCATTAGGTTTTCTTAAGCTCAATGAATCAAACATTTGTCGCGAACGTATTGGTATAATTGGAAATTAAAATTCCACAACTTAATTAATTACATAAAACAATGCAAATAGGAAAGGAAATGGACTGTTGATCGTCATGATCATGCTTTATCTTAGAAGGACCCCTTCTCTTGTTACATAAATCTAATATAACGGAGGATATATGTGACGAAATTTGAACCATAGTATTAATAGTCTATTGTGAGACTTAGTCTACTTTTCTATTTTCTTATTGTAGATAATAATAATATTGTTTGTTAAATTTTTTTGAAGATATATGATGTTTTGATTCTATATAGTGTATACATTTGAGGTTGTATATATGCTCTCAACACATTTCACATGTTGTGCCAAAATAATTATTAATTAAGGAGTGTGATATCTATACACTTTTTTTTTACTTCTCACACACCCTTCTAATTTTCAGCCATCAGATTAGATGAATTGAAGAAGATCAAATGACATAAATTAACAAGGGATGTATGAGAAGTAAAAATGGACGTGCGATCCACACACTCTTTAATTAATTACACTAGTGATGAGAAGCACGTATAGGAACATGAGGCCAAAGATGTCAAAATTTCCGCGTTGGTGCATTCAACTTAAATTAGGCAAAATATGTTCAGATTCCGGCCTACACTTAGGGGGTGTAGTCAAACTAAGATTTTAAAGGATTTTAAAAGTGATAGATTTTATAGGATTTAAAAGGATTAAAGACTCCTACAAAATTCATATGGATTTTAAAGAATTTGAATGGATTGTGGTGGAAGGATTTGAAATCCTAGGGGGTGAGGTTGGATTATTTTTAGTCTTGGTTATATTTACTTTTTGCTCTCAAATCCCTCAAAATCCACAACTTATTGAAATCCTCCAAAATCTTAATTTTTTGAATACTCTTAGATTTGGATGGATTTTAAAATCCTTTAAAATCTTTTAATTGACTACACCTAGATTTGAATGGATTCTAAAATCCTGTAAAATCTTTTAATTGACTACACTAGGATTTTAAAGTCTTTTAAAATCCTCTCAAATCCGAAGTGATTTATATACATTTTTTTAATCTCTTATTATATTTTGTGTGAATTTTTAGTCATTAGATTGAATAAATTAAAAGAGAATCAATAAACATTATAAAACAAAGAGGTATTCATCAATTTCCCCCCTCAACTCTCAGAATTAGTCAATTTCCCCCCTCAACTTTAATTTGGCCAATTTCCCCCCTCAACTCTCATAATTTGTCAATTTGCACCCTACAGTTAATTTTTTAATTTGATCATAATTAAACAAGTGTGTGTAAGAAACTAAATAAGATGTATGTTAATCATTTTCCTATGTCTTTATCCTATTACAAATAGATTAAAATTTAGAATTTTACAATTTATCATAGATAGTATTATTAGTCATAATAAATCAGTATGGAGTAATTTTATTTGATTTTTTACTATACAAAATTGATAACAAAAAGGATTGATGTGTACATTTTTGTATGTGAATACAATTTTCTTTATAAAAGTGAAAGCTAAGTTCAAGTAAATTGCGGAGAATCGAGCTTTAGTGCAAAAATGGCTAGTCAATTCATAATTTTCGACTCCTTATTAAGAATAACCCATTTTATTGAAATAGGTCTGATCCATGAGTTTAGGATTATTATTTCTTCTTCTACATGCTTTAAACCCGATTCATAACTTTTTCTTATAATCAACCCATATCACATACTAATTGTATTATGTTTTTGTACATTTTACCCTATATTATGCAGGTGAGTTTATGTTAATTTTAGTACTTTGTTGGAAGTTATTAGAAAGATTGAAAGAAAAAAAAAAGAATAGATGGAAAATTAAAAAAAAATTAACAGTAGGGTGCAAATTGACTAATTATGAGAGTTGAGGAGGGAAATTGGCCAAATTAAAGTTGAGGGGGGAAATCGACTAATTATGAGAGTTGAGGGGGGAAATTGGCCAAAATTAAAGTTGAGGGGGGAAATTGGCCAATGGTCACAAGTTTAGGGGGGGAATTGATGAATACCTCTAAAACAAAAGAATATAAGGTAAAAAAAAATGTGAAAATAACTTCCCTTTACAATAAACATCTAATGATTTGAAGCCAACAAGGATTGGCTTAGTTGGTAAGTTCACAGCCTTGTGTGTCTCCTCATCAAAGTTCGAGTTTCGCTACCAGTAGTCATCGTTGTTGCGTAATTTGTAAATCCTACATAAATACATAACGGTGACAACTCACAGTTAAGTACCACGCGTAAATTCATTTGGCTCGAGATTGTGAGTATTACTGGCACTGATAGTTAGAGTAATCAATCTTCCCTTAAACTTTTTAAAACCCTATATCTACTGATTTGGAAGACGATAATAATGTTCGAATAGCGGAAGTAAGAAAATTCATTGGACTTCCTTCTAATTATGTGTTTTCGTCATCTTTCAATGATAAAAGCCATCAGGAGAAAAGCCATCTTCTACAACGTATTGTTTGGTGGCTGCATGCGGAAGATATCGATATATGGTGGTGCCACTAACTTTATTACACCAAAAGTCTTCCTAGTTCTCAATTACTTGGTTGCTTTAGGGATTCAAAATCATATCTCGTCCGGAAAGGTCCAATATTAATCATGTAATGTAGATAAATCACGAATGAATTATGATGGATCATCATACTCCAACTTATATTTAAGAAATCATATCTCAATAAGAACATAGGGGCGTTAAACTTTTCCTCACCATAAATGCATTAAACGTCTAATTAATCTTTAAAATATTGCACGCAGTACACTCGTGAGTCACACAAGTTAAGCGATTTACAACAATTGATGCATTCGTGGGCGACTTACCATAACACTATCATCGTACCAATGCACTCGAATCATTTCAGATTACAATTGTCTTGTTTAATAAATTTTTGGGAACTTTAATGAAACACTCCCGGTACTGTTCACTTTAACGAACACTACAAGAAAACAGGGAATATGTGACGGAATTTATGGTGGCGTCCAAATATTTGTCATATATTACGAGAATAAGTGAGGAGATTTTAGAAAGCGTCACCTAAAAACTTTCGCTGGACCAATTGATTTTTTAGATTGTATGCATCACATATAACTTTCAGATTCGCCACATATAAATGGGCGGGAAATTTTACCGCCCATATGAAAGTTTATTTGTGATGAATTGTAGAATGTGTCACATAATGTTAAATAATATGACATACGCAATTGTGAGGCTAAAGATGCCTCACTGATTATACATACATACATATATATATATATATATATAATTATTCATAAAAGCCAAATATTAAAACATAAAATAAAATAATTGAATCTTTATTTTAATCTTCCACAGAGTCCACCTTCCTTTGGTTTTGTAAACAGAGAGAGTATCCACTCTCACTTCGTCACTTTTCACCCCACCCCTTCATCTCCCTCTTTTGTTCTTCGGTGGTTGCCATCATCGGTGACCACCCATCTCCCCTTCATCTCCCACAAATCGCACCCTTTTTTTTCCCATTGCACTCTGATTTG